TGGGATTTTTTGTGCTGCCCTAAGAGTTGTTGCCAGTCACTGCTGAGGGGAAAGCAGACAGTTAGAATGAATCCCTGCATGGGCTGTCTTTGTCATGCTGGTCTGGAAGCATTGAGTATGGAGACCCTCTCATAGTGAATGGAAAATTTCACAGTCAAGTGAAGCTGATTAAGGATGCTTTACTGCAAATTAGTTCAGACTGAGCTTAGAAATTTAGCAGTCAGTTTTACCCTTTGTTGATAGTAATCCCTAGCCTGACACCTACAGTATATGTATAGAATCTTACCCTACTGTGGCATTAACACAGATAAAGCAAACTGATGTGAGAGTAGGGTAGGCACAGATTTATTTAAGGCTTGTGCTTAAGTAGTCAAATTTGGTGCTAGGTCTCTAAATTCTGTACTTATATAAAATAACCCATTTCTTTGTTTTATAATTGCATCATTCATATAGTAGATAAATGGATATACATAAAAATATAAATAAAAAACCCCACAATTTGTAACACTCAGTCTTCTGTTCCTCTTCTCTGCCTGGATGCAAGATACTACACACTGTGTCATAAATAGACATGACAGTGATATAAATGTGATTATCCATTTTAATCCTGTTATTTAAAATGGAAATAACACAGAGTTATCTTGTCACATTAATTCTGAATCTAGACATGTCTTACTCAGATCTATATCCAAAAAGCATGTGAAAAAGTGTGACTGCCCTTTGACATGAGCATATACTTCAAACTGCCTTACAGAACTGAGACATCAAGAAAATCCAATAGTGTTTTCTTAGTATAATTTAGGGCCAGAGAATAAGTGTGGAATATTATCCAGTGACTTACCATTTGGGCTGTAGAACTTACTTACACACTCATTTTACCCAGAGAAGCTTGTCTGATCTTTTTTAATGCACTCTGCTTTCATTATGTCAGTCCCAGTATCTGCAGCTAACTGGAGTGAAAAAAATGACTTTTGCTTTTTAAACTTTATTCACAAGTGTTTTCTGCCAGGCAGAAGTGACTTGTGTGAACTGTTAACATAGTTTGCATATCAGTTGCCTTATTACCGCCAAATATTTGTGTTGAGAGAATAGTGGATGCAGTGCTTTTTTAACACATTTTCAGTAATTTACCATGACTGGGTATAGGCTTCTCCAAATGCACATTTCTGATTGCACATAAACAGGTATCAGCCTACACAGTTGGGCAAATAACTCAGTGTGCTATCACAGAAAACAGATGTGATTCTTTTTTTTTTTTGACTGCACTTGTACATATACTGAATTTCTTGTTATGTCATTTACTCTACCATATAGTATATTTTGACTTGTTATGGGTCTTGTAACATACATAACGTATATACAACGTGTTGTAACAGCTATCAGTGCATAGCAGTGGAACTATAAGTACTTGAAAACTAGTAAATCATCTTCAATTTCTTATGACTCATAAGCATCTTAGTGGGTTTTGCTAGTTAACGAGTTTTGGATTTGTATAATCATAAGTAAAAATGAAGTTGTTTTCTGTTTATAACCCCAAAACCAGCATTTTTTTTCACCAGGGAAACTTGCTGTTATAGAAGACATGTTAGTCCTCTCTTTTCAAGTATTTGCTAAAAATTCAGGGTTTAACTGAGCTTTTTTTTTTCCATCAAGAAAAGAGGAACAAAAAATTCAGCAGAGAAATTTGAGGTACAGATGTACTGTCATAGGTTTTCTTAAGAAATCCTCAAAAAGAAATCAAATTTTAATTAGAAATATTGTAGAGCTAAGCAGCTCAACAGACTGGCTGTTACAGCATCTCTGTGTTTAAATGATTAAAAAAACCTTGTTTGGCCTTGGTGAAAGATGGTGCTTCCTGAGAGGCTTTTCTTTTTTGTGGATTGGCTCCCAGTTAAACAACTTTGATCTGCCAAAGGGCCCTGTAATACTTCTGCATTGCATCTGACCAGCAAAGGCACAGACCCATGTCCTTCCAAACACACATGCTGTCTTTCATAAGACCACAGCTTTGTAATTTATAACCAGGTAGGGTACGTGATTTTGATTGTTGTGCTTGGCTTCTCAAGAGGTTCATTCTGTGTAGCATCCCATTCTGGCAGAGACTGGTGTGCCTCATTCAATTTTATGCCATAAGCAGATGTGTTTTGTTGAGCTGGAACTGGAAACACAAGAGGTAGGTCACAGATCTGAACAAACTGGAGGTGGTTTTAGCCTTAAAATTCTCATAATTGCACAAGTTAATCTTGTCTAATTGTGAAACCTTCCAAGGCTTTATTTCCTAGATTTATTAGTGTTGTTAGTGTACTTAACTTTGTATCAACTTTGGAAATTATTATAAAATTTCCAGCAATTCTGGTACATCATAGTGTCCCTCTGGAGAAAGAGAGAATTCCTATTTATTTTTCCAGTGAATAAAGTTGGTCCATTCCATAAATGACAAGAAATGTCACCAAGAATTGTAACTACAGATTCTTTGGGCCAGAAACCACAGGGAATGCCCAGAAGCTGAAGCATTAAAGTTCCTTATTGCTACTATATTAAATAAATATCAATGATGAATGCTTGGGAAACTTGACATCAACTGAGGGAAAAGAATGATTACACATGGATTTGCTTTACTTCTTCCCAAATTGTGTCTGAATAAAAAAGATTTAATGTGTATTAAAAACTATCATTCTCTTCTTTATAAAGGATATGGACCCACAGATCTGCTGTAACTGTATCTGTGCTTGGCTGGTCTCAGTGAAAACTGGGAGTGCCTCACCAATCAACCTAGATTTGCCAAATATGTCCACAATACTTATTCTCAGTGTAGACACAAATGTATACACGTCTTTTCGAGGACTTGGTCCAAACTGCCCTCCCTTATGAGGACTTGCTTTGCATTGAGCTTTACAACCAAAACCTATCACTTTTTCCTTTTTTGCTCTGAGTGAGAGGCATCTATGAACTTTTTCCCCTCTAAGGGGGAAAACCTGTTTTAATACAAACTCCACCAGCTGGCGCTACACCAAGACTGTTTAATCATGACCACCAATCCAGAACTGGAAAAAAATAAGGGAAATTTTCTGGTATGTCAAATTACATATTCAACATTTATTGCTGAATGTATAATTCATATCAAGTTACATGAGAAGCATCCATTGCCAAAGTCTCTGTCTTCTTATGGACCCATCAGATAACTTTTCATCCCTCAGAGCCATAAAATATGTCTTTTACGTGTGTATGGCCACGTGTGTTTGCAAAATGGGTTTGTAAATCATAGTAGAAAATACTTGGCATCTTGTAGAGCCTTTTACAGCGCAGCAGTTGCAGTTTTGGAGTATTTGGACCTCATGAGCACAATGTGAAATGTTAATAACATCAGTGCAGGTCTATTTTAAACATGGCTCTGAAATAAATTCTATTATGGGAGCTGTGGAGGCTGTGTAAAATGAGTTTATCTCCTCATTTAAAGAAATAAAGAATGCTAAAGCTCACCCCAGAGTTGCTTTCTGCAACATCACAGTGTGCATCTCTGATGTGGAAGTCCAGGGTGCGGGATTGGCATGTTTTAAAGCCTGTCTAAAACCTTCTGTTGGACACGGTGCTGTGGGAGAAGTGCTTGCTGCACAAGCAATTTTTTCCCTGGGTGACTTTGTCATTTCCTTTAGTGAATGTCTTCTAGACACTCACAGTGGAAAGGTGCGCACCATCACAGTGAATTAAGGGCCTTACCCCAGATTTCATTTTGGTTGCTCATTTGATCTTTTGCTCAAAGCATGTGTCAAAACCAGATTTCAGTCTCCAGTAAATAGAAAAATGGCAAGCAGTTATGTGATTCTGATTTTGACTTACTTGAACTGGTATATTTCAGTCTTTGTATAATTGTTTCATACTTCTCACATGAAAGCCAGCTGTAATTAGTAATTATAGTGGTTATCAACAAGAATAGTACATCAGCTGTTGCAACCTAAAATAGATATTAGCCTAATTTAATGAGTCAAACTAATACAGACTGTTTCATGCTACACTTTTTCAAGAAAATCTTCATTGTGTTCTTTTCTATAACATAAGTATTCAGATTTTGTGATTGCTTTTAACAAAGTTGATTTAGCTTCAGGCCTTAAATATAAATTCAAAATGTGCATGAGTGCATCAGTATCAGTGTTACAATCACTTATCTGAGCAGTTTTCTGCTGGATGGATTTCTTTTATTTGGATATTCTAATTACATTAAATATCCAAAATCACAACTGTTTCTTCTGTGTTTGAAGAAAAAAGACGTTAAAAATAAATTTTAGATTAATCAAAATCTAATCTATGCTAAAAAGCTTTTAATCTTAAACTTTAAACCTTTTAAGCTTAAATTCAGAGAGATATTGAAATTAATATAGTCAAAATGCAAAAAACAAGGGACAGTAATTTGTTTCAACATTTTGACATTAAAAAAATAAATATTCTAAAAACGTTATTATAGACATTTGGTGTAAATTTGTAAGCAGTTCAATCAATGTACAATTATTTATGCACTGACAAAAAATCAAGCTTCACATAGTTATCTTCATGCTAGTTATTTTCTACAGCTAATGTACACTGCTTGCTGTATTATTGAATTGCTACACAAGAAGCTAAATGTCCTGGTAACTTTGAAATCTACTACATTAACGGTGTTAATCTTGAATTTACAAGTTGCACACTTTTCCTACCTATGTGTTTATATTTGTTCTGTAGTAAGAAATCCAGGCATAAAACGAATACCAAGTACTGCTTTGATTGTTCCCTAGTTTTTTTAATGGTCTCAAATAAGGATGTTGTGCTGACTTGTTTTTTTTGAAGAGGTTGAACTGTGTGAACATAACTGTGAACACAATTATGAGCACATGACAGTTGATACGCATCATAAAACCAGCTCTAATGGTTTTAGTTTTGATGATCACATTTATTAGACGAATGTGCTACATGGTCTGAGTCCTACAGTGCTTCATCAAGGAAATAAAATGCTACTTTTTATTTTCCAGGGCTTAGTTATTGAGCGGCTGGGACGCAGGCCTCTTCTCATTGGAGGTTTTGGGTTGATGGTTGTCTTCTTCGCAGTACTTACCGTCTCTCTGACTTTACAGGTAACACCATGGTTACTCCATATTTTTACTCTCTCTTTCGTATTTTAAATTCAATGTGCTTGATACCAGTTTGCCTCCGCATTCCTACATGAGTCAATCCTTTTAATCAGCTTGGCATAAGGATTGAAAGGTCTGCCTTTTGCTTATTTATGAATTTGCTGGTTCCAAATCACTATGGGCAGCAATAGCAGCTTTTACATTAAAAGCCATGGGAGCTTTGCCACATTCAGTCTCCTTCACTCAAAGATTTATGCATTTATATTATGAGCTATTACAAAGACAATTTTACCCATAGTTGGGTAAATAGTTTACCCATATTGCATGTTTTTATCTTTCTTTGTGATGAAGTCTTCTTGAGATTTTTTTCATACTTTATATGTCATCCTTATTCTTAGGTTTGGATGTTTTTTCCAGTAATAAAAAATGTCCATTTTTACTGCTTCTTTCAAATTACATTTATGATAATTTTTTGAAAATTGAAAGACAGACTTCACAGAACATTTGCATTAGGTTCTCAGTTCTTATTAGCAGTCAGTTCCCTAGCTATTTCAAATGGTCAGAGAAGAATTATTAAACCAATCTAAATACTGATGCCAACACATTATTCCTTGTTTAGCTTCCATTTCTGTAACAATGCATTTTATTTCTGCTCCTGAGGGATTTTGAGAAGTAAAACTGGCATTTGTGATGGCATGGGTTTGGGTGGTCTTTCAAGTTGTGTTCCTGTTGTCATTGATTCCTGTGTCTTGCCATTAATCTGGCTTTCAAATCTTGTTTCTTGGCTAAAGAGAGTCAGTAAGTCAGTCTGACTAGCAGATGTATGCCACACCTTTGCAAAGTTTTATTTGACTTACCTGTATGTACCACACAATAAAGCTTTACTTCACATGCCTGCCATGACAGCTATGAGAGAGCTCTCCATAAGAAAGATGCTATTTCAGGTTTTGTATACTGAGTAAAAAATTCTCTTCCAAGTCTTTTAAAACCTAGTTTGATGCCTGAGCACCTTCAGCTATTGTAAATCTCTGAAGTTTGGGTGCATTTCAGTTTTACTTCCTCTCAGAAGTGTCTCAATCTGTTAAGTATTATAGATTTGCTTTGAACAAAGGACCAGGGTACAAATAAGCTTGACCTCAGAGCAATTTGTATCTACTTCATATTTGTACCTGCTCTCAGTTCCTTTACAGATCTGCATTCTGGTGAAAACTCTAGAGTGCGTAATTCTGATAGATCTACAGGTCTCGTGGTTAATGTTAATGCCTAGGAGACCATGTCTTTCACATAACTAAAGGAATACTCCAGACTGGAAGAAAAAAGGCATTGTAAAATGGGGTTTTATTTAGTACTGAAATAAAAAATTACCTATTTCAGCAAGTATATTTTTACAGTGCTACTCAAGGTAGTACTGTACAAGTACAAGTACAAGCACAAGTACTACATTCATACATATCTTAACTTTGCAAAAATAGTAGAATTCTTATAAAAGCGGCATTCACATTTTGCTGATGGAAAAACCCACTGATGAAGACAGTAAGGAATAGGAATTCATGGCTGCTTCCCATCTGTTATTATTATTATTATCAAGCATTCACATACATGATTAAGAAATAGTGTCCAGAAAACTCAATGGAAATTGCTTATTGTATTTCAAGTTCCTATCATTTACAGGTCCAAATAAAGAAAAATCTCTTTAGAAGTAGGAAAAAAAAATGTGTTGTGAGGAAAGGAGTGGATTCCCTTTTCAATTCCCTTAAATAACCATTTATAGTTTGTTCTTTTTCCCCTGTAGCTGTTGTTTGCATACGTGGCCCTCCCTGTCTGCAAAACCAGATTATGGCTAAAACTCCCTGGACTGTGGCTTTCCCATGCTTTGCTGAGGTTGCTAAGGTTCACATACAGCTGTCATGTCTAGACTTCAGCCCAGCTTTTAACTGTTGAACTTTGAAGCTCCATGAGCCATCATAGTTGCTGGTTTCAAACATGACTGAAACCTCCAAGAAGGATGGAGGTACCAAATCTGTTCAATGAAAAAAAAAAACCTCTTTTCCAGGTCAGCTTGAACTTTAGCATGAGGTGTGAACTTTCAGAGTTGTGGCTTCTGTGGTGCAAGGGCTTGCCTAGTGTTTCTCTACAGGGATTTCACAGAGACCAAGGCCTTTAATACAGATCATGTAATAAGGTTCTATAGAAATACTGTGATTTTCTAAAGTGACCCTTGACTAAATTCTGAAATAGATAAAGAGTAGTGGAAAACACTATTATCTGTGATTTTTTTTAATACTGGTGACATGTACAATGTACTTAATGTAAATGTCTTGTATCTATCCAGAAAACCGTGTACTGGCTTCCTTACCTCAGTATATTTTGCATCCTTGCAATCATTGCATCATTCTGCATTGGACCAGGTATGTCTGTATTTTTTTCATGGGTTTTTGTAAATCAAAACACAGGCATTTTTGCACTGGCACTGTCTTAACAAATCACTTGTAGGGAGCTTTACTTTACCTGTATCTGAAAACCACAAGGGCTCTAAGACAGTGAAAGGTGATAGTAACCCAAAGTGATAGCAATATTCTTGATAATTGGAACTAGATAATCTTAAGGTCCTCTCCAACCCTAATTATTCTATGATTCTATAAAGACCCATGTACATGTGTATTCCCACTTATGTGTTAGCATAATTGAAGACTACTGTCTAAATTGCAGTCAGTACCAAATTATAATGTTAGCTATTATTGGAGGGTTGCTATTATTTTTTATATTTATAAAACCCACTCAGACTGGAAGCTGAGTGTTTTATATATCAGTGCTTGTGTTAGCAGTTCGGTGCTGGTAGGATAAAAATGGAACACTGGTGAAGGGGGAGGAAGGGGTCAGTTGTGCGTTTTTCCTTTCTTCTCTTCCTTTCCGAAGATATGTGCAAGAGGGTTTGCATAGTCCCTTTAGGAAGATGATGGAAAAGGTAGATGTCGTGATGATGAAGATAATTCTTGTCTGTGTTTCAGATCTGATGTACACAGATAACTGCTTTTGTAGGTTGTAATGAGTTTACCAGGACCGTTTTCCCAACCTAGTTTTGATTATTTAGAGATGGATACAGCTTTATAGACAATCCAGGATTCAAAGGTCGTAATTTTTATATTTAATTTTCTATAACAAGGAACATCTTAAACGTATAAAAAAGAAATAAATCCAGACCTTTCTCAGAAGTGTAGAATGAAAAGTCAAGAGCAACAGTGAAGTTTCAGCAAGGGTGATTATGACTGGATAGAAGGGGAAAAATTTTGTATTGAGAGTGGTTAAGCACTTGAAGACTTAGCTTAAAGAGGTCATGAAATATCCATCCTTGGAGCTATTAAAAACTCAGCTGGACAATTCATGAGCAACGGGCTCTGCTTTGAACAGAGGCTGAATTCCAGAAATCACTTACAATCTAAATTTATCCTGTGATTCTAATTGCATCATATCTTTGGAAAATGCATATTAATAGATATGCAAATATTTGCCTGAGTGTTTTTCTAAACAGTATTGTTCTGGCCTTCAGGTACTTGATCAGAATTGGATCCTACAGTTATCAAATAATGAAATGTTAACAAAAAATATTTTCAGATAGATAAAGAGGAATTTAATCCAAATTCAATTCTCCTACAGAATAAGATGTCAAAACAGCACTTAAATTTTCAAATACTCTCTTCCAAACTGTTTTCCACAAAAAGGGGAAAAATCAGCTGCTCTCAGGGAGTTTATTCACAGTTGTTTAGCTGTAAACCTGAAAGTAAGGCTTCTGTAGGCTTCTGTTCCCTTGAGTTTTCATTTTTTTCATGCACCATTTATTGCCTCTTTTTCCTTGTGTAGAGTGACATTAAACATTAATCAACTGTTTGTATATCTTCACCACTTAGATGATCTAATTAATTGATTGTGGTTTATTTTGGGAACTTGTTGCTGATGCTTTGTGTGACTAATGAAACATTGCTGTAATTTCATGGATCCTCTTTTGGAAAAGCTGAGGAAAGCTTATGTTGCTTTAGAGAAAAATGGGAAGAAAAGCAGAATAACCTTTTTTCCACTTGCTTCCTGGAAAATAGTTTGTCACTAATCTCTGTGCTTATTCCCTTTGCATATGGTAGCTGACTGAATAATAGATCTGCCAAGCAGGCTTCACTAGGGGCATTAAGACACCTAATACTGGACAGTAGGTGGCCTATGAAGACTGTTCTTCCTCACCTCCAGCTCTTCTTGCAAGGCAAATACTGCAGAAGATCTTGCAATTCTTTTGTCCTTCTGTAAGGACAAATCTCAGGTTTAACCAAGTCCTTAGAATTGCTGACATATGTTTGTTAGACTTTTTGAAAGAAGAATTCTGTGGAATAGAACTGCTCTTGCATTTGAATGTCTAAGGAAAATGAACTTCTGTTCACTTCTTGAAAACTTCCCTCCCAGTGTTTTAAGTAGCTCAGACAGTTTAAGTGCAGCTACTTGCAACATCAGCCTTCAAATGAGTAAAAATACTCAGTTAAACAAATTGTAAATTTTCCATATTAAAGACATGTTCCAAAGATTTTTAGAACTACAGATCAACATGTTCTTAGATGTTATATTTTCAGCATATTAAGAGTAACCCTTTATATTTCTCCTTCACGTCACCATCCTTCAGAATGGATTCTGGGTTTCTTCATTTAGCTTCTTTCCCTTTACAGATGCTATTCAGGATTTTGTATTGTACTTTGCACTCTTTGGAGCAAAGTGTTGCAGATGTATGCAAGCTTTTGCTTGATATTACTTGCTTCCCACAGAAATTCTTTAAAATGAAGCTTATTTTATGTTTTTTACCATATTCATTAGTTTTAAAGCCAAATGACATCAATACTGTACCAGTAGCTACCTAGTTGGCCTCTTACTGTTTCCTGTGTGCATTCAAACATTTTAAATCATAGAATCATAGAATAGTTAGGGTTGGAAAGGACCTTAAGATCATCAAGTTCCAACCCCCTGCCATGGGCAGGGACACCTCACACTAAACCATGTCACCCAAGGCCTCATCCAACCTGGCCTTGAACACTGCCAGGGATGAAGCATTCACAACTTCCCTGGGCAATCTATTCCAGTGCCTCACCACCCTAACAGGAAAGAATTTCCTCCTTCTATCCAATCTAAACTTCCCCTGTTTAAGTTTTAACCCATTACCCCTTGTCCTATCACTACAGTCCCTAATGAGGAGTCCATCCCCAGCATCCCTATAGGCCCCCTTCAGATACTGGAAGGCTGCTATGAGGTCTCCACGCAGCCTTCTCTTCTCCAGGATGAACAGCCCCAACTTTCTCAGCCTATCTTCATACAGGAGGTGTTCCAGTCCCCTCATCATTCTCGTGGCCCTCCTCTGGACTTGCTCCAATAGTTGTATGTCTTTTTTATGTTGAGGACACCAGAACTGCACACAATACTCCAAGTGAGGTATCACGAGAGCAGAGGGGCAGGATCACCTCCTTCGACCTGCTGGTCACGCTCCTTTTGATGAAGCCCAGGATACGGTTGGCTTTCTGGGCTGCAATCACACACTGCTGGCTCATGTTCATTTTCTCATCGACCAGCAACCCCAAGTCCTTCTCCACAGGGCTGCTCTGAATCTCTTCTCTGCCCAGCCTGTAGCTGTGTCTGGGATTGCTCCGACCCAGGTGTAGGACCTTGCACTTGGCATGGTTAAACTTCATGAGGTTGGCATCAGCCCACCTCACAAGCATGTCAAGGTCCTACTGGATGGCATTCCTTCCCTCCAGCGTATCAACTGAACCACACAGCTTGGTGTCATCGGCAAACTTGCTGAGGGCGCACTCAATCCCACTGTCCATGTCAGCGACAAAGATGTTAAACAAGACTGGTCCCAACATCGATCCTTGAGGGACACCACTCGTTAGTGGTCTCCAGCTGGACATTGAGCCATTGACCACAACTCTTTGCATGCGGCCATCCAGCCAGTTCTTTATCCACCGAGTGGTCCATTCATCAAACCAACGTCTCTGCAATTTAGAGACAAGAATGTCATGTGGGACAGTGTTGAACGCTTTACACAAATCCAGGTAGATGACATCAACTGCTCTACCCCTGTCCACCAGTTCTGTAGCCCCATCATAGAAGGCCACCAAATTGGTCAGGCAGGATTTCTCCTTAGTGAAGCCATGCTGGCTGTCACCAAGCACCTTGTTGTTTTTCATGTGCTTTAGCATGCCTTCCAGGAGAATCTGCTCCAAGATTTTGCCAGGCACAGAGGTGAGACTGACTGGTCTGTAATTCCCCGGGTCATCCATTTTCCCCTTCTTGAAAATGGGGGTTATATTTCCCTTTTCCCAGTCTTTGGGAACTTCACCTGACTGCCATGATTTTTCAAATATGATGGCCAGCAGCTTACCAACTTCATTTGCCAGCTCCTTCAAGACCCGTGGATGGATTTCATCAGGACCCATGGACTTGTGCACGTTCAGATTTTAAAGATGATCTTGAACCATATCCTCTCCTACAGTGGGCCCAAGGTCTTCATTCTCACAGTCCCTACATCTGCCTTCGAAGACTTGGGTGGTGCGATCAGAGCCTTTGCCAGTGAAGACCAAGGCAAAGAAGTCATTCAGAACCTCAGCCTTCTCCAAATCCTGTGTAGCTAGTTCACCTGAGAGCTTCCTGAGGGGGCCTAAGTTCTCCCTAGTCTATTTTTTTGTTTGCTATGTACCTGTAGAATCCCTTCCTGTTATCCTTAATATCCCTAGCCAAATTTAATTCTAACTTGGCCTTAGCTTTCCTAACCTGGTCCCTAGATTCCCAGACAACACCCCTGTACTCTTCCCAGTCCATACTAATGGGAATATCTCAGTAGCACTGAATAGTAATTTTCTTCACGTGAAAATTTTGGTAGTTGACACTTCAGCTGTTGAGAAGAAGTTGTGAAGAATCATAAAGAAACATAAGAAACATAAAATGGACATGGAACTGTTGGAACAAGTCCAGAAGAGGGCCACAAGGATGATCAGGGGACTGGAGCACCTCCCATATGAAGACAGGCTGAGAAAGTTGGGGCTGCTCAGCCTGGAGAAGAGAAGGCTGCGTGGAGACCTCATAGCAGCCTTCCAGTATCTGAAGGGAGCCTATAGGGATGCTGGGGATGGACTCTTCATTAGGGACTGTAGTGATAAGTTAAAACTTAACTGTAGTGTAAGTTAAAACTTAAACAGGGGAAGTTTAGATTGGATATAAGGAGGAAGTTTTTTACTGTTAGGGTGGTGAGGCACTGGAATGATTTGCCCAGGGAAGTTGTGAATGCTCCATCCCTGGCAGTGTTCAAGGCCAGGTTGGATGAGGCCTTGGGTGACATGGTTTAGTGTGAGGTGTCCCTGATTGTGGCAGGGGGGTTGGAACT